AACTGTGGTTTCTAGTGGAGAAGTGAGACTGATTCTATGAGTATTTAATAAATGATATTAAACATTGTCCTTGTCTGACCACATTTTGTGCAACGCTACCAACATGAAATTGTTCTGGTTTTATTTGGTATGTTGAGGACAGCTGTAACTTCCAGACTTCTACAAATCTCCCTGGGCCTCTATGGGAGGCAGGTGGATCATAAAGCACCTGTCAATTTGTTCTCATTGGTTCTTGCTGTAGCTCAAATGTGTTGCATAAAACAAATGAACCTCGTTGGTTCTTGCTGAAGCTCAAATGTGTTGCATAAAACAAATAAACCTCGTTGGTTCTTGCTGAAGCTCAAACGTGCTGTGTAACACGCTAGAATGAACCTCGTTGGTTCTTGCGGTAGCTCAAATGTGTTGCATAAACCTCGTTGGTTCTTGCTGAAGCTCAAACGTGCTGTGTAACACACTAGAATGAACCTCGTTGGTTCTTGCTGTAGCTCAAATGTGTTGCATAAAACAAATAAACCTCATTGGTTCTTGCTGAAGCTCAAACGTGCTGTGTAATTCACTAGAATGAACCTCGTTGGTTCTTGCTGTAGCTCAAATGTGTTGCATAAAACAAATGAACCTCGTTGGTTCTTGCCGAAGCTCAAATGTGCTGCGTAACACTAGAGCCCCTTTCACACAGTGCGTTGATCCTGGGAAATTGCCATAAACTTGCTAGAGTGCCTTCAATGTGAATGCAAACACGTCCTGGGACTGATGCTGGAATCAGTCCCGGAAACGTGCCTTGTGTGAACAAAAGCCAGGACCAATGGTGTAAGGGGTGTGTCGTAGTGATGAAGCTGAGATAATTCATCAGCTTAGTGGAACGGTATGCAATGCGCTAGTTTATGGTCGAATCAGAAAAAAAAAGCATGAGTGTTTCTTGAGAGAAATCGCAGATCATAAGCAAACTTAGACGCTGTGGAGGTATCACACGTCGCATCCTGACGGGGATGTGTGAACGCATTCTCAAATTCCGAAAGATCACTGGCAGTGTGAATGAACCAAAATCAAATGATCCCGGGACACATTTTCCAGAATCTCTGTGTGAAAGGGGCTTAGAATGAACTTCACTGGTTCTTGCTGAAGCTCAAATGTGCTGCATAATACATGAGAATGAACCTTATTTGTTTTTGCTGAAGCTCAAACAGGCTGTATAACACTAGAATGAACCTCATTGGTTCTTTTGGATACTCAAAAAGTGCTGCATAACACAAGAATGAACATCACTGGTTCTCGAGGAAGCTCAAACATGCTGCGTAACACCAGTGTGTTGCTTTTTCGAACCACAATTGATTCGAATTTTCAAAAAAGCCAAGTTTCTCCCAACACCACCTCCAGTGTGAAATCCATTAATATGTGATTTTATGTATGTTTAATAAGGGTGGAAAAGAACAAGGAATAACTTTATTCTTATGAACCAATGGAATCGCCCAGTTGCATAAACTCCCACTCATACAAGTCTGGAGAATCATGTCTGTTAATGAAGAGGGAGGGATTATCATTAATTTGCCAAAATCTGTAGAGTACAAAAAGACCAGGGCAGCATCTCAACAGTGTGACTAGCTGTTGAACAATGGCAGGAAGTTGGTATGCTGTTCAGTCTCTGGCACTTTGTTTTTGGTTCGGTGCTTTCTGTCATGCTGTTCCAAAGTGGAGTAATCTTCCCCAGAATTCTCAAACTCTGATGTTCCAGCAAACTGACCAGCGGTTTCAACAACCAGTTCAACAGCAAGCTAGTCAACAGTTTTCTCCGCAGTTTCAACAGTCAGTTCAACAGCAAGCTAGTCAACGGTTTCCTCAGCCAGTTCAACAGCAAGCTAGTCAACGGTTTCCTCAGCCAGTTCAACAAGCTAGTCAACAGTTTCCTCAGTCAGTTCAACAGCAAGCTAGTCAAAGGTTTCCTCAGCCAGCTCAACAAGCTAGTCAACAGTTTCCTCAGCAGTTTCCTCAGTCAGTTCAACAGCAAGCTAGTCAACAGTTTCCTCAGCAGTTTCCTCAGTCAGTTCAACAGCAAGCTAGTCAACGGTTTCCTCAGCCAGCTCAACAAGCTAGTCAGCAGTTTCCTCAGTCCGTTCAACAGCAAGCTAGTCAACGGTTTCCTCAGCCAGCTCAACAAGCTAGTCAACAGTTTCCTCAGCAGTTTCAGCCTAAGCAGCCAGTGGCACAGGCAGAGCCCCTTGACAAATGTACTGTAGCTGATTATGAGCAGATCCAATGTGGACCACCTGGTATCAGTGGTGCTGAGTGTGCAGCTATCAACTGCTGCTTTAATGGACAGCAGTGTTACTATGGGAAGGCAGGTAAGAGTGTTGAGTCAATGTAAAGGTGTTCATGTTAAACTGATCTTCAGCAATAACCTGCTCTTGTACCTTGTTTCAGTGACTGTCCAGTGTATAAGAGATGGTCAGTTTGTGGTAGTGGTGGCTAGAGACGTTACGCTGCCTCGATTGAGCCTGGATTCAGTCCGTCTCCTGGGTGGAAATGATCCAGCTTGCAGTCCTGTGGGATCCACACCTTTCTTTGCTATATATCAGTTCCCTGTCACTGCATGTGGCACAAGCATGATTGTGAGTAGCTGCTTGTGGTTTTGTTCTGCATGGCTTGGAATGGACTGGATGCCAACGGTTACTATTTGCAGGAGGACAGTGGATATGTGGTGTATGAAAACAGAATGACCTCCTCGTATGAAGTGGGTATGGGACAACTTGGTTCCATCACAAGGGACAGCCATTTTGAGTAAGTGATGCATGCTTTATCATAAATGTTAATCCTGGACAAATGCTTCAAGCTCACTGTTTGTTGTCCAGGCTTCTCTTCCAGTGTAGGTACTCTGGTACTTCTGTGGAAGCTCTGGTTGTGGAGGTCAACACTGTTCCTCCACCTCCACCAGTAGCTGCTCCTGGACCCCTCAGAGTGGAGCTTAGACTGGCAAATGGTCAATGTGTCACCAAAGGCTGTGCAGAAGGTAAGTGTTTGTCCCAAGTATGCCTAAAGCCTTTCTAAAACTCCAGTTTGCAGCAGTTTCAAGTTAAACACTGTATTCTTCCTCAGGGGACGAGGCGTACACGTCCTACTACAGTGATGCTGATTATCCGGTGACAAAAGTCTTGCGTGAACCTGTGTATGTTGAGGTGCACATTTTGGAGAGGACCGACCCCAACATTGTCTTGATGCTGGGACATTGCTGGGCGACATCAACCCCTAGTCCACTCAGTCTACCCCAGTGGGACCTTCTGGTTGATGGGTGAGTAAGGCCAGTCTTTATCCATCTAGTGTGCAGTAAGGTGTTTCTGACTGCCTCTTTGCCTTTCAGATGCCCTTACCAGGATGATCGTTACCTGACCACATTGGTTCCAGTGGCTGGATCATCTGGTCTTCAGTTCCCAACCCACTACAAGCGCTTTGTTGTGAAGATGTTCACATTTGTAGATCCAGCATCACTGGCTCCTCTGCAGGAAACGGTACAGTACCCAGTGTGTCAGTTTTCAACTGTCTCTTGGTTCCTAATGCCAGCTTTGGTTCTCCTCTCAGGTCTTCATCCATTGCAGTACAGAGGTGTGCCATCCCTCTTCTGGCTCTTGTCAGCAAAGTTGCTCCAGGCAAAGTCAGTGCTTCCTGTTATTTAAACTGTTTAATTTAGCTTGTGTTTTAAAAGTTGTGGGAGTGTTAATTTTTGTTTGTTTTCTTGCACTTTTAGGAAGGGACGTTCGTTTAAACACTACCACTTCTGGCCAAACTGTGGTTTCTAGTGGAGAAGTGAGACTGATTCTATGATTATTTAATAAATGATATTAAACATTGTCCTTGTCTGACCAAATTTTGTGCAACGCTACCAACATGAAATTGTTCTGGTTTTATTTGGTATGTTGAGGACAGCTGTAACTTCCAGACTTCTACAAATCTCCCTGGGCCTCTATGGGAGGCAGGTGGATCATAAAGCACCTGTCAATTTGTTCTCATTGGTTCTTGCTGTAGCTCAAATGTGTTGCATAAAACAAATGAACCTCGTTGGTTCTTGCCGAAGCTCAAATGTGCTGCGTAACACTAGAGCCCCTTTCACACAGTGCGTTGATCCTGGGAAATTGCCATAAACTTGCTAGAGTGCCTTCTGTGTGAATGCAAACACGTCCTGGGACTGATGCCGGAATCAGTCCCGGAAACGTGCCTTGTGTGAACAAAAGCCAGGACCAATGGTGTAAGGGGTGTGTCGTAGTGATGAAGCTGAGATAATTCATCAGCTTAGTGGAACGGTATGCAATGCGCTAGTTTATGGTCGAATCAGAAAAAAAAAGCATGAGTGTTTCTTGAGAGAAATCGCAGATCATAAGCAAACTTAGACGCTGTGGAGGTATTACACGTCACATCCTGACGGGGATGTGTGAACGCATTCTCAAATTCCGGAAGATCACTGGCAGTGTGAATGAACCAAAATCAAATGATCCCGGGACACATTTTCCAGAATCTCTGTGTGAAAGGGGCTTAGAATGAACTTCACTGGTTCTTGCTGAAGCTCAAATGTGCTGCATAATACATGAGAATGAACCTTATTCGTTTTTGCTGAAGCTCAAACAGGCTGTATAACACTAGAATTAACCTCAGTGTTTTTTGTTAAAGCTCACACATGCTGTGTAACACGAGAATGAACCTCATTGGTTCTTTTGGATACTCAAAAAGTGCTGCATAACACAAGAATGAACATCACTGGTTCTCGAGGAAGCTCAAACATGCTGCGTAACACCAGTGTGTTGCTTTTTCGAACCACAATTGATTCGAATTTTCAAAAAAGCCAAGTTTCTCCCAACACCACCTCCAGTGTGAAATCCACTAATATGTGATTTTATGTATGTTTAATAAGGGTGGAAAAGAACAAGGAATAACTTTATTCTTATGAACCAATGGAATCGCCCAGTTGCATAAACTCCCACTCATACAAGTCTGGAGAATCATGTCTGTTAATGAAGAGGGAGGGATTATCATTAATTTGCCAAAATCTGTAGAGTACAAAAAGACCAAAGGGCAGCATCTCAACAGTGTGACTAGCTGTTGAACAATGGCAGGAAGTTGGTATGCTGTTCAGTCTCTGGCACTTTGTGTTTGGTTCGGTGCGTTCTGTCATGCTGTTCCAAAGTGGAGTAATCTTCCCCAGAATTCTCAAACTCTGATGTTCCAGCAAACTGACCAGCGGTTTCAACAACCAGTTCAACAGCAAGCTAGTCAACAGTTTTCTCCGCAGTTTCAACAGTCAGTTCAACAGCAAGCTAGTCAACGGTTTCCTCAGCCAGCTCAACAAGCTAGTCAGCAGTTTCCTCAGTCAGTTCAACAGCAAGCTAGTCAACGGTTTCCTCAGCCAGCTCAACAAGCTAGTCAACAGTTTCCTCAGCAGTTTCCCCAGTCGGTTCAACAGCAAGCTAGTCAACAGTTTCCCCAGTCGGTTCAACAGCAAGCTAGTCAACAGTTTCCCCAGTCAGTTCAACAGCAAGCTAGTCAACAGTTTCCTCAGCAGTTTCAGCCTAAGCAGCCAGTGGCACAGGCAGAGCCCCTTGACAAATGTACTGTAGCTGATTATGAGCAGATCCAATGTGGACCACCTGGTATCAGTGGTGCTGAGTGTGCAGCTATCAACTGCTGCTTTAATGGACAGCAGTGTTACTATGGGAAGGCAGGTAAGAGTGTTGAGTCAATGTAAAGGTTTTCATGTTAAACTGATCTTCAGCAATAACCTGCTCTTGTACCTTGTTTCAGTGACTGTCCAGTGTATAAGAGATGGTCAGTTTGTGGTAGTGGTGGCTAGAGACGTTACGCTGCCTCGATTGAGCCTGGATTCAGTCCGTCTCCTGGGTGGAAATGATCCAGCTTGCAGTCCTGTGGGATCCACACCTTTCTTTGCTATATATCAGTTCCCTGTCACTGCATGTGGCACAAGCATGATTGTGAGTAGCTGCTTGTGGTTTTGTTCTGCATGGCTTGGAATGGACTGGATGCCAACGGTTACTATTTGCAGGAGGACAGTGGATATGTGGTGTATGAAAACAGAATGACCTCCTCGTATGAAGTGGGTATGGGACAACTTGGTTCCATCACAAGGGACAGCCATTTTGAGTAAGTGATGCATGCTTTATCATAAATGTTAATCCTGGACAAATGCTTCAAGCTCACTGTTTGTTGTCCAGGCTTCTCTTCCAGTGTAGGTACTCTGGTACTTCTGTGGAAGCTCTGGTTGTGGAGGTCAACACTGTTCCTCCACCTCCACCAGTAGCTGCTCCTGGACCCCTCAGAGTGGAGCTTAGACTGGCAAATGGTCAATGTGTCACCAAAGGCTGTGCAGAAGGTAAGTGTTTGTCCCAAGTATGCCTAAAGCCTTTCTAAAACTCCAGTTTGCAGCAGTTTCAAGTTAAACACTGTATTCTTCCTCAGGGGACGAGGCGTACACGTCCTACTACAGTGATGCTGATTATCCGGTGACAAAAGTCTTGCGTGAACCTGTGTATGTTGAGGTGCACATTTTGGAGAGGACCGACCCCAACATTGTCTTGATGCTGGGACATTGCTGGGCGACATCAACCCCTAGTCCACTCAGTCTACCCCAGTGGGACCTTCTGGTTGATGGGTGAGTAAGGCCAGTCTTTATCCATCTAGTGTGCAGTAAGGTGTTTCTGACTGCCTCTTTGCCTTTCAGATGCCCTTACCAGGATGATCGTTACCTGACCACATTGGTTCCAGTGGCTGGATCATCTGGTCTTCAGTTCCCAACCCACTACAAGCGCTTTGTTGTGAAGATGTTCACATTTGTAGATCCAGCATCACTGGCTCCTCTGCAGGAAACGGTACAGTACCCAGTGTGTCAGTTTTCAACTGTCTCTTGGTTCCTAATGCCAGCTTTGGTTCTCCTCTCAGGTCTTCATCCATTGCAGTACAGAGGTGTGCCATCCCTCTTCTGGCTCTTGTCAGCAAAGTTGCTCCAGGCAAAGTCAGTGCTTCCTGTTATTTAAACTGTTTAATTTAGCTTGTGTTTTAAAAGTTGTGGGAGTGTTAATTTGTTTGTTTTCTTGCACTTTTAGGAAGGGACGTTCGTTTAAACACTACCACTTCTGGCCAAACTGTGGTTTCTAGTGGAGAAGTGAGACTGATTCTATGAGTATTTAATAAATGATATTAAACATTGTCCTTGTCTGACCACATTTTGTGCAACGCTACCAACATGAAATTGTTCTGGTTTTATTTGGTGTGTTGAGGACAGCTGTAACTTCCAGACTTCTACAAATCTCCCTGGGCCTCTATGGGAGGCAGGTGGATCATAAAGCACCTGTCAATTTGTTCTCATTGGTTCTTGCTGTAGCTCAAATGTGTTGCATAAAACAAATAAACCTCGTTGGTTCTTGCTGAAGCTCAAACGTGCTGTGTAATTCACTAGAATGAACCTCGTTGGTTCTTGCTGTAGCTCAAATGTGTTGCATAAAACAAATAAACCTCATTGGTTCTTGCTGAAGCTCAAACGTGCTGTGTAATTCACTAGAATGAACCTCGTTGGTTCTTGCTGTAGCTCAAATGTGTTGCATAAAACAAATGAACCTCGTTGGTTCTTGCCGAAGCTCAAATGTGCTGCGTAACACTAGAGCCCCTTTCACACAGTGCGTTGATCCTGGGAAATTGCCATAAACTTGCTAGAGTGCCTTCAATGTGAATGCAAACACGTCCTGGGACTGATGCTGGAATCAGTCCCGGAAACGTGCCTTGTGTGAACAAAAGCCAGGACCAATGGTGTAAGGGGTGTGTCGTAGTGATGAAGCTGAGATAATTCATCAGCTTAGTGGAACGGTATGCAATGCGCTAGTTTATGGTCGAATCAGAAAAAAAAAGCATGAGTGTTTCTTGAGAGAAATCGCAGATCATAAGCAAATTAGACGCTGTGGAGGTATCACACGTCGCATCCTGACGGGGATGTGTGAACGCATTCTCAAATTCCGAAAGATCACTGGCAGTGTGAATGAACCAAAATCAAATGATCCCGGGACACATTTTCCAGAATCTCTGTGTGAAAGGGGCTTAGAATGAACTTCACTGGTTCTTGCTGAAGCTCAAATGTGCTGCATAATACATGAGAATGAACCTTATTTGTTTTTGCTGAAGCTCAAACAGGCTGTATAACACTAGAATGAACCTCATTGGTTCTTTTGGATACTCAAAAAGTGCTGCATAACACAAGAATGAACATCACTGGTTCTCGAGGAAGCTCAAACATGCTGCGTAACACCAGTGTGTTGCTTTTTCGAACCACAATTGATTCGAATTTTCAAAAAAGCCAAGTTTCTCCCAACACCACCTCCAGTGTGAAATCCACTAATATGTGATTTTATGTATGTTTAATAAGGGTGGAAAAGAACAAGGAATAACTTTATTCTTATGAACCAATGGAATCGCCCAGTTGCATAAACTCCCACTCATACAAGTCTGGAGAATCATGTCTGTTAATGAAGAGGGAGGGATTATCATTAATTTGCCAAAATCTGTAGAGTACAAAAAGACCAAAGGGCAGCATCTCAACAGTGTGACTAGCTGTTGAACAATGGCAGGAAGTTGGTATGCTGTTCAGTCTCTGGCACTTTGTGTTTGGTTCGGTGCGTTCTGTCATGCTGTTCCAAAGTGGAGTAATCTTCCCCAGAATTCTCAAACTCTGATGTTCCAGCAAACTGACCAGCGGTTTCAACAACCAGTTCAACAGCAAGCTAGTCAACAGTTTTCTCCGCAGTTTCAACAGTCAGTTCAACAGCAAGCTAATCAACGGTTTCCTCAGCCAGTTCAACAGCAAGCTAGTCAACGGTTTCCTCAGTCAGTTCAACAGCAAGCTAGTCAACGGTTTCCTCAGCCGGCTCAACAAGCTAGTCAACAGTTTCCTCAGCAGTTTCCTCAGTCAGTTCAACAGCAAGCTAGTCAACGGTTTCCTCAGCCAGCTCAACAAGCTAGTCAGCAGTTTCCTCAGTCAGTTCAACAGCAAGCTAGTCAACGGTTTCCTCAGCCAGCTCAACAAGCTAGTCAACAGTTTCCTCAGCAGTTTCCCCAGTCGGTTCAACAGCAAGCTAGTCAACAGTTTCCCCAGTCGGTTCAACAGCAAGCTAGTCAACAGTTTCCCCAGTCAGTTCAACAGCAAGCTAGTCAACAGTTTCCTCAGCAGTTTCAGCCTAAGCAGCCAGTGGCACAGGCAGAGCCCCTTGACAAATGTACTGTAGCTGATTATGAGCAGATCCAATGTGGACCACCTGGTATCAGTGGTGCTGAGTGTGCAGCTATCAACTGCTGCTTTAATGGACAGCAGTGTTACTATGGGAAGGCAGGTAAGAGTGTTGAGTCAATGTAAAGGTGTTCATGTTAAACTGATCTTCAGCAATAACCTGCTCTTGTACCTTGTTTCAGTGACTGTCCAGTGTATAAGAGATGGTCAGTTTGTGGTAGTGGTGGCTAGAGACGTTACGCTGCCTCGATTGAGCCTGGATTCAGTCCGTCTCCTGGGTGGAAATGATCCAGCTTGCAGTCCTGTGGGATCCACACCTTTCTTTGCTATATATCAGTTCCCTGTCACTGCATGTGGCACAAGCATGATTGTGAGTAGCTGCTTGTGGTTTTGTTCTGCATGGCTTGGAATGGACTGGATGCCAACGGTTACTATTTGCAGGAGGACAGTGGATATGTGGTGTATGAAAACAGAATGACCTCCTCGTATGAAGTGGGTATGGGACAACTTGGTTCCATCACAAGGGACAGCCATTTTGAGTAAGTGATGCATGCTTTATCATAAATGTTAATCCTGGACAAATGCTTCAAGCTCACTGTTTGTTGTCCAGGCTTCTCTTCCAGTGTAGGTACTCTGGTACTTCTGTGGAAGCTCTGGTTGTGGAGGTCAACACTGTTCCTCCACCTCCACCAGTAGCTGCTCCTGGACCCCTCAGAGTGGAGCTTAGACTGGCAAATGGTCAATGTGTCACCAAAGGCTGTGCAGAAGGTAAGTGTTTGTCCCAAGTATGCCTAAAGCCTTTCTAAAACTCCAGTTTGCAGCAGTTTCAAGTTAAACACTGTATTCTTCCTCAGGGGACGAGGCGTACACGTCCTACTACAGTGATGCTGATTATCCGGTGACAAAAGTCTTGCGTGAACCTGTGTATGTTGAGGTGCACATTTTGGAGAGGACCGACCCCAACATTGTCTTGATGCTGGGACATTGCTGGGCGACATCAACCCCTAGTCCACTCAGTCTACCCCAGTGGGACCTTCTGGTTGATGGGTGAGTAAGGCCAGTCTTTATCCATCTAGTGTGCAGTAAGGTGTTTCTGACTGCCTCTTTGCCTTTCAGATGCCCTTACCAGGATGATCGTTACCTGACCACATTGGTTCCAGTGGCTGGATCATCTGGTCTTCGGTTCCCAACCCACTACAAGCGCTTTGTTGTGAAGATGTTCACATTTGTAGATCCAGCATCACTGGCTCCTCTGCAGGAAACGGTACAGTACCCAGTGTGTCAGTTTTCAACTGTCTCTTGGTTCCTAATGCCAGCTTTGGTTCTCCTCTCAGGTCTTCATCCATTGCAGTACAGAGGTGTGCCATCCCTCTTCTGGCTCTTGTCAGCAAAGTTGCTCCAGGCAAAGTCAGTGCTTCCTGTTATTTAAACGGTTTAATTTAGCTTGTGTTTTAAAAGTTGTGGGAGTGTTAATTTGTTTGTTTTCTTGCACTTTTAGGAAGGGACGTTCGTTTAAACACTACCACTTCTGGCCAAACTGTGGTTTCTAGTGGAGAAGTGAGACTGATTCTATGAGTATTTAATAAATGATATTAAACATTGTCCTTGTCTGACCACATTTTGTGCAACGCTACCAACATGAAATTGTTCTGGTTTTATTTGGTGTGTTGAGGACAGCTGTAACTTCCAGACTTCTACAAATCTCCCTGGGCCTCTATGGGAGGCAGGTGGATCATAAAGCACCTGTCAATTTGTTCTCATTGGTTCTTGCTGTAGCTCAAATGTGTTGCATAAAACAAATGAACCTCGTTGGTTCTTGCTGAAGCTCAAATGTGTTGCATAAAACAAATAAACCTCGTTGGTTCTTGCTGAAGCTCAAACGTGCTGTGTAATTCACTAGAATGAACCTCGTTGGTTCTTGCTGTAGCTCAAATGTGTTGCATAAAACAAATGAACCTCGTTGGTTCTTGCCGAAGCTCAAATGTGCTGCGTAACACTAGAGCCCCTTTCACACAGTGCGTTGATCCTGGGAAATTGCCATAAACTTGCTAGAGTGCCTTCAATGTGAATGCAAACACGTCCTGGGACTGATGCTGGAATCAGTCCCGGAAACGTGCCTTGTGTGAACAAAAGCCAGGACCAATGGTGTAAGGGGTGTGTCGTAGTGATGAAGCTGAGATAATTCATCAGCTTAGTGGAACGGTATGCAATGCGCTAGTTTATGGTCGAATCAGAAAAAAAAAGCATGAGTGTTTCTTGAGAGAAATCGCAGATCATAAGCAAACTTAGACGCTGTGGAGGTATCACACGTCGCATCCTGACGGGGATGTGTGAACGCATTCTCAAATTCCGAAAGATCACTGGCAGTGTGAATGAACCAAAATCAAATGATCCCGGGACACATTTTCCAGAATCTCTGTGTGAAAGGGGCTTAGAATGAACTTCACTGGTTCTTGCTGAAGCTCAAATGTGCTGCATAATACATGAGAATGAACCTTATTTGTTTTTGCTGAAGCTCAAACAGGCTGTATAACACTAGAATGAACCTCATTGGTTCTTTTGGATACTCAAAAAGTGCTGCATAACACAAGAATGAACATCACTGGTTCTCGAGGAAGCTCAAACATGCTGCGTAACACCAGTGTGTTGCTTTTTCGAACCACAATTGATTCGAATTTTCAAAAAAGCCAAGTTTCTCCCAACACCACCTCCAGTGTGAAATCCATTAATATGTGATTTTATGTATGTTTAATAAGGGTGGAAAAGAACAAGGAATAACTTTATTCTTATGAACCAATGGAATCGCCCAGTTGCATAAACTCCCACTCATACAAGTCTGGAGAATCATGTCTGTTAATGAAGAGGGAGGGATTATCATTAATTTGCCAAAATCTGTAGAGTACAAAAAGACCAGGGCAGCATCTCAACAGTGTGA